CTGTTGGTTCTTTGCATTACAGCTGAATATAATAAAGGCAGGTTATAATGAAGGCAAGACAGTGGCTTGTGTCTTTCAAGTAGGAATAAGAGATCCTCCGGAAAAGGGCTTATTTTCCGGAATCATGTCTAGACTGGCGCTTTTCTCCGGCTTATTCCCAAGCCGGAAAAAAGCGGCAGCCATGTAAATGCAAATGCCGCGGGGGATATTTAAATCCCCTACGGAATTTGCAATTCCGAAGTCTACATTAGAATCCCTTTTCCGGAAATGGGTGCCAATGTAGACATAGCCAGTGAGTATAATAAAGGTACCAATAAGAGCACTGAGTGGCACTGGAGCTCATTCTGAGCAATTCCCGAGATGCTGAGCACTCTCAGCTCCAATTGAACACATCTGAAGAGATTCTGAGCATGTTGCAAACCAGACCCATTATGCCTCAGGGAGTCAGACTTCTCCCAGAATTCCCAACGTGCTCAAGGGGCACACCCCCTGCACAATCTCTTTGGAAACTGGAAGGTTTGGAAAGAAAGTGGAGACATCTCCTCCACCTTCTTTTTGTCCATTTTGGGATGTTTTGTGCACCTACGGGTGATGTCTCTTCAATCTGTGTTCCTACATGCTATTTTGGCCCACCCCAGAGTCAGGCAAAAAGAAAGGAAAGTTTGAGGCTTTCTTCTCTCATACACTTGTGCAAGGGTCATTGTCTAGCCCCAGCTGAGTTCCAAACCACCCTTCCTTGTCCTTCCAGTAGAGTTCTAGCCATGGCCCACAGGATTTCTGTTTCAGGGGAAGTGCTGTGCAGCCTCTCTGCTTCCAGTTGGTTGCACCAGGATGGAAATAACCCATGGCAAGAAAAAGGATAGTGTCAAAGCACAGCAGTTAATAGGATCATAAGGGCTTTGTTTCTTATCCTAGATACTTCTGGTATTTTTATAACCCCAAAAATAAAGATTTTTATCAAAATATAGTATGATCTTGTTTATGGCTATTCAGTTTATTTTTTCCTAATTGCACATATGGTGTAGATAGGTCTGGTCAATGTCTGGCCCAGAAGACAGCTATTTGGTTTTATTCTGCTGTATGAAATGGATATATATTTTCAGATGAACTCGTCATTTGTTAAAGTTCAAATTCTTTACAATAATATTCATTATGTGGCTTTAGTCGACGGACAGAAAGGAAAAAATCTCTCAATTGCATCTGAAGTGATCAGTTACCATTTTAATTTGTTCTCCTGGCGTAAGTTGTAATGTATTTGGTATCGTCCCTGTAAACCTTGTCTTCTCTCTTTAAAATGAGCTCTTTGGTATCCAGCAAAGGGGTTTGTTGCAATAAGAATTAAGGTGTGTCCCTAAGCTTGTACCTGGAAGCAATAATGATGTTGTTCAGTATTTCAGGTGAGACCAGCCCAGGATTTTTGGGTGGGGAAACAGACTCTGTTATACGCTATCTTCAGTGCTTCCTTCAGAGGAAAGCAGAACCTCTCCCAAGCTAAGGTGAAGAACATCTAGCCAGTGTCTTTTTTATACTGGCACCAGACAGAAGGAGGGAAAGGGAACCGGAGTGTAACAACAACTCATTTGGACTTGTATCTAAGAATAATCAGATTCAATGGATTGGCTCCCTTATAGAACAACTGCATTTCTATTCATTTTAATGGTAAGTAGAATTTTAAAATAATATTTGTAAGCTTTATGTTAATATCAAAATCTTTTTCTGCAGAGGATTACATTTTCTGCTGTCTCCACTTTAACTATATTGAAACTCATATTAATCAAGGCAGTTTTAAACATTGTGCATTAGACTCTAACCATAGCTCATTTTTAACTGAATCTTTTAAAAAGTTTCTGCAAAAAAACCCTCTGATTTTAATTTTAATGTTAATTTCTGAGTATAATTCTATACATTGGACAGCTTTGATTGTTAATACAAGATATGTTTATAGTCCTAAATATGTCTTAAGAGGCTTTTTCATTATTATTAATATTTGTCTTTGTTCAGTTTAAGGGGAAAAATCCAGAATTCTTTCAAAAAAATCATGACTAGGATTATTTCACTGTAGGTTTCTGCAGTGTTGTGGGTATCACATGTTTGCCTAACAAGCAAAAGGTCTCTCATTCAAAAATGTTGGTTCTTTTGTCTCTGTATTGGGGGCAGGAGACTGGACTTGATGACCTCTCTAGATCCCTTCCAGTTCTATGATTCTATGATTCTAGTGCAGTAGTGTTCGTGTATAAAAGTAGAGAATAAAGAAACCCTTACAATGGAGATGATGTTCTGTTACTAGGTTTATTTTTTTATTATGGGGGAGAAGGGGCAGGAGGCAGAATAGTGATGTAAGCATCAGGAAGTTGAAACTAATTAAAAACAGAGAAAAACTTCAACAACAACAATAGTGTAGTAGCACCTTAAAGACTAACATCTTTAAAACAGAGAGATATGAAAGAGGATCACAAAGGATTCTGTGATGCTCTGTTCTGGCATTATACTTTATTTTATTGGCTTGGGGGTTGCTTTTCATAGTTCATCTTGTATTTCTACAGTGAAGGACAATTATAAGACCCTAAAAACTACCACAAGTAGAAGTCCTGTACAGGAGTTTATTTTGTGGTGTTTGTTTCACACACAAGCTGTACAATGAAGTGTAAATATAATAACTTTTTAAATGCTACTACTAAACTATCCAGAGGATTATTGACATAGAATAAAAATAGTGGGGCTTCCTTTGGGAAGATTAAGCAAACTTTAGCTCTTAGCTTTTCATTCAGTAAAATAGATCTAATGAAGAGGGGCAGCTGCAAAGTAACTAATTTTGATTCTTGGCACACAAAAAAAAGGGTTCTGATTCAGATTAGTTTCTGTTTATTTCTTGTAGCATACAGGCCTCTTCTAGGTACGGAATATTGTGTGCCATATTAACAATTTTAGCCTTTTGTTCAATATTATCAGTATTAGGTGTGACCTGGTTAATTAAATTACATGGTAATAATTATTCTTCATACTTGGATGGCAGTACAAATAAACTAGAGGGCTGTGTCTAGACTGGCCAGTTTTTCCAGAAAATCAGCCGCTTTTCCAGAAAAACTTTCCAGCTGTCTACACTGGCCACTTGAATTTCTGCAAAAGCACTGACTTCCTACTGTAAGAAATCAGTGCTTTTTGCGGAAATGCTATGCTGCTCCCGTTCGGGCAAAAGTCCCTTTTGCACAAAACTTGTGTGCAAAAGGGCCAGTGTAGACAGCTGAGATTTGTTTTCTGCAAAAAAGCCCAGATCGCGAAAATGACGATCGGGGCTTTTTTGCGCAAAAGTGCATCTAGATTGGCCACGGATGCTTTTCCGCAAAAAGTGCTTTTGCGGAAAAGCGTCTGTGCCAATCTAGACGCGCTTTTCTGAAAATGCTTTTAACGGAAAAAAAAAGCATTTTCCGTTAAAAGCATTTCCAGAAAATCATGCTAGTCTAGACATAGCCCAACTATACTATAAACTACTGTCCATTCAAGTACATATTTTACAGTAGAAAAATAATCTTTCAACACTGCATTTTTTAAATGCATAATTTTACCATTGTATTGTGACTGAGTGAAGATTTCAGTTTCAATTAGGAAAACTGAAAGCTTATGTAAACACTCCCCACATTTTGGCAGGTGTTAGCTGTATGGAAGTTCATTATGCAAAGAAATTAACTATTATCTTTGGAACATGGAACACGTCCTTCTCTTGTCAGAGGACTGGTCAAATGTTCATAGCTGGAATTTAAATGAATCTTATTTTAATTCAGTCTCATAGTAATTCCCAAATGGATAAGAAAAAGAGTCCTTTAGTGCATATGGAAATGGCGAGATTAAATAAATTTTAATAATTCAGTTTAATAAATGACATAAAGCCTGCATCAATCTGAATGCCTTTTTAAATTAAAGCCTTAATTTATGAGAAACACATTGAGCTCTGCAACTATTAAAGTTTTGGTACATATTTTCCCATTCATAGGCCTGATTCTGCAACTTTTACTCACGTGACTTCCAAGGTCATTACTTGCTTGAGTACAGGGTGTAGAACTGGATTTTGTTTTCTTGTAGCTTCAGAGGCATGTTTTGATGAAACGGTATGTTTGATTCAGTATGACTCATCTCCATCCAGCTATCATGTGATGGTTAGTTTATAACAATCTTAAATTCATCATCTCTCTTGCTTGACCACTTTTTCCCATTTATTTTCTTCACTTTCTCTTCTGACTGCAAAGATACAGGTTTCATTAACTACTCATAATTTCTACAATACATTGGAAACTGAAGGTGACATTTATACATGCTAAGTTTTCCCAATGTATTGCCCACTGACATTAACAGAAGTTACACTCCCCACAGCAATGACAGCAAAATAAGGCCCAAAGTTTCAGTCACTTTTAAATGTTTGTATTCATGAAACTAAACACTTTAACATGTTTGTCATCAGGATTTTTCTCCTTTATTATCACATAAATAATACAGGCAAAACCTTGTAGAAAGCTTGTAGAACCTTCCTTTGGATATGCATGTAGAATACCCACTGAAGCCAATGGAAGATGCAACAGGTATTTAAGGGCAGAATTTAGCTTTGGGATCTTAAGCCAAAGTTTTCAAAGTATCTGAAGTTAAGTACTTAAATCTACATTTAGTCTTCTAAATAAAAGTGGACTGATTTTCAGAGACGCTGAATGGAAACTATAGATTGTAAGCACCACTGGAAATCAGAAATTTTTTATTTAGGATCCTAAACATGGATTTAAGTATCTAACTTATTAAATTCAAGTTTGGAAGAACAACTTCTCCTTAGAACTTTTACTCAGGTTAGTTCTCCATTCATTTTTTGGATGGTTAATGCCAGTTAAGAAATGGAACCATGTATAATTTCTATAGGGCTTACCTTGTATTATTCATGTGACAGAGGAAAACAAGTCCTGATGACAAAGTGATGACAAATCATGCATCCCCTTAAAAAATGAAACTATTTGATATCAAAAGGGAAACCAGTTAGATAACAGCAATGAGAAATATGCTTTTCTGTTTGGATTTAAAGCTACTACATGCTTTATTTAAATAAGTAGGGAGGGAAGATCAGGCCGAAGCTTCAACCCTATTCCTTAGTAGTTAGCATACAGTGGCTGGGATTGGTTTTTCTGGAGCTGAGTTACAGAACTATGGAAACAGACATTCATGAAAGGGTGTGTTCACATAGACTTTTACTCAGTGAGAGTGTTGGCTGAGTAAGAAGTGCAGTATATGACTTAAAGTGCTGATGCAAACGAAACCACAGTGGCCCAAGGATGACTAATATAATGAGTGTGAGTTCTCTATACACCTCCCAACAAGATCAGCAAACACTCCCCTTGACTTCAAAGAGTAGAATCAGGTGCTATAGAATGATGCTGGGAACCAGAGCCAAAAAAAGGAGTTATGGGCATGTTCAGTCATTTGGAAGTGAGTAGGTGGAGGAGGGAGGGTTCCAAAATTGCATATTATAATTTTGCTTGGCAGTCAGTTAGTGATTAGTGAATCACTGTAAACTGCTTTGAGGATGCAAAATGCTATATAAATGCTAGGGGCCAAATTCTGCTCCCAGCTACTTCAATATAAATCTGGAGTAGCTCCAGTGACCTCAATGGTGTTTTAATATATTTTTCTCCAGTGCCAGTGGCCCAGGTCTTTCATATTATACAACTGAATTGCAAATCTTTGAGACAGACAAAACATAAAAATGTTTAAGATGGTCCTAATTAACAGGACTTTTTGGCATTGCATGTCCGCCTCAGTCTAGCAAATGCGTCCCTCAACTGCCTGCTCACTCTACTATGGACCTTCTCTTCAGTGTGAATCCTCACACAGGCTAATGGTCTGTGAAAGGACAAAAATTGTGATGCTGTGCGAAAGGGTACCAAAGCTCGTTCCATGAGCCTTCCAGCAAACCTGTCAAGTTTGTCTCTTCACTCAACTTTCCATCTGCCCCAAAATTCCAATAGCATACCTCATGCCAAGTTCTCGTATAGTGGTAATATTATATCTTCCACACAACCTTGTGATTATATATTTTGAAGGAATTCTATTGGATAGCTTAGCATATGTCAACATATGGAATATACATGAAAATGCTGAGTCTTATAATATATATATTCCAAGGCCATTAACTCTCATACACCTTTCTGGGACAATGAGGTTGCTTGCAAGCCAGGGGAGGATTTCATCCTAAGGAAGCACTAAGATCACCAGCACAGTCTCTTTGAGTGCCATTTTAATTCCCAAAGAAGCTACACAGAAGCTCTCCCAAAGGAAGTCCCTGCTAAAAGACACTGAATCAGTGTAATGTCTGGCAGGGTTTTTCATCGTGCCCTTTGGGTGGTGTAATTTGTTTCATGCTGTCCTGCCGGTAGGTCAGCTCTGCACTGACATTGAATTAGGCTTGTGACTGTCAATCAGAGCGCAGCCAAATGTGGGCAGAGTATCCTCCCCTTCTCTCACTAAGTGGGTAATAATAATTCCCTAGATGTACTTTTTTAGATTAGAAGTGAGGCTAAAGCTACTTGTCCAACATGTCTCTTTCTAAAAAGCCTATTTGCCTATGTCGTTATCCTTTCATCGGGAATACTTTTCTTGTCAATTTAGGTCCAGATTTTTCCCCACATCCACCTTACAGTGAATAGTACTTACTCTGTGAACAGTCTCAAGGCTCTATTCAGTCTACATTCAGGTGGCAAAATCTGCCCCATAATCACTTCTCTTCATTTTGCACTAATGAGGTGGGGCCAGACTATAAAGCTTACTGAGCAGTATCTGGTCACACTGGCAGTCCCATTCATTTGAGTGGGATCTTTTTGGAACTGGCGACCAATGCAAATAAAGGGTTTACAATGTAGTGAAGTAGAGTCCAGTGGACAAAATTGCCATTTGTGAACCTCATTGCCTTTGGAGAGAAGTGATTTTTAAAAAGAAAAAAATAACTACAAATGGCATCCAGTGATAGAGTTCATGACCAGCTTCTGACAACACACTCATTCAATAATCTTTGGAGGAAAATGTTTATAGGAAGGATGCATGAATTAAAATTAGCACATATTACACAGTAACTTCTGTTACAACCACAACTTTTAATCTTCCACAACACCTGGCATGAAGCCCATTTGTTTAAAATGCACAGCTAATGAAACTGTGGTGAGTTGCTGTTTAGTACTACATATTCCTATTGAGAAACAGACTTGGTAGCAGGTATTCAGGGAAGAGAAGGCTATCAATAATAGCCAAGGAAGATGAGAAAAGAAAAGGTCTCTCGCATTGTTGGGCCTTTTTCCATGCTGAATGGAAATAAGGAACCAATCCTGGATCAGTTCACATTAGGAGTCTTTTCTCATGAAAGAGATGCAGGATCAGGGCCTAAATCTATAACTGACACTGTGAACTGATAATTTTACTGTATCAATTGCACTTTTTTACTATATTGAATGATATACTTAACTAAACAAAGTTTCCTTTCAAATTTTATATAAAAATGCCTCTTTCCTCCTAATTTTTTTTATTGTCTTAAAGCAAATTCACATTGGGTCTGACCCTACAATCGTTATGCACATGAATATTTCCTTACTTAGTTAGGGTCTGATCCAAAGGCCACTAGACTCCATGGGAATCTTTCCATTTCCTTCCCTGGGTGTGCCAGCCAGAGCATAATCTCTTTGGCTACGTCTAGACTGCAAGCAGTACTTTCGAAAAAGCAAGCCGCTTTTTTGAAAGAGAGCACCCAAGCAGTCTGGATGCTCTCTTTTGAAAAAGCCCTGTTTGCATTCAAGAACGCCTTTTTTCGAAAGAGCACTTTCGAAAAAGGCGTTCTTCCTTGTGAAATGAGTAGTACCACCATCGAAAGAAAAGCCGCGTTCTTTCGATTTAATTTCAAAAGAATGAGGCTTTAGTCTAGACGCAGGTGAAGTTTTTTCGAAAAAAGGCTACTTTTTTCCAAAAAAACCTGCAGTCTAGACACAGCCTTTGACATTAATGGAACCTCCATATGAGTAATAACTTTCCATGTGAAGAGTGGCATAGAGTCTAACCTAATATACTTAAACAAAGCCAGTATATTGGCCCATGCTTGGACTTCGGCATGAACTTAGCAAGAACAATCACAGCCTTTTTACCAATAAATCTCTTTTAAAGCAAATCCAGGACCCTCTTTTGTAGTCCTGTGTATGAGAAACGCAGTCTGACAGAATCAGATCATTTTAATCTAATTTTGTTTATCCATATTTAAGGAAGAGGTTTTAATTTTAAAATTTTAAAATATATTAGAGTACTAAATTATGAAGAAACAATTACGATATATAAATTAAATTTTCAAAGAAAATGTTTGAAAAATAGTTTTATCCTTCAGCCAAGGATAAAGCTTAGAATTTTGTTTCATGATACCAGGAGTTGAAAACATCACTAATGCTGAAGCAGAACACGGTACTCAGTTTTAGAGGTTAAAAAGTCTCAGAGCAGTAGCCGTGTCTGTAACTTTAATAACAACAAGTAGTTCTATGGCACTTTAGGTGTAATTGCATAGCTGAAGTTGAAGTACCTTAACTAAGTTTTTGGCACTGTCCACACTGCAGGAAGTCGAAGGGAGAACTTCAACTTCCCTTACTCTTCAACTTCCCTTACTCTTTGTGGAAGCAGGACTACCAGCATCAGCTGGAAAGCCCTTTTCAGTTTGAATTAGCATGTCTTCACTAGAATCACCAAGGCTAAGTCTACACTACACCCCTCTGTTAGCAGAGGGATGTAAATAAAGTATATCGAAAGTGCAAATTAAGCGGGGCTGTGTTGTTTTTGATGAAAGTGTGGGTAGGATCTGGCCATAACAGCTTAGTTCTGTATTACCTGCCCAGCTAATTTGACCCAGTATGTTTAGCATCTCTCTCTCACAACCTTAATGCAGATCAGTGCAAGATGTAACCATAGCTGTTTTTTTGAAATAATGGGCAGCTTGTGTAGACACAAGATAGCTTTTTTGTGATACTGGAGGTATCCCGAAATAGCTGTGCAATGTAGACGTACCCTTAATGTTTTACAGAAAGAGCAATTCGGTTCCTCTTGAAGGATGGAATAAACTGTATTTGCTTTTTTTCCTATTGTTCTCTGATAAGAAATGATGGCACTATTACCCCTTTTTCTTCTGATCAATGTCATTTCTTTGTTCCTCTTCACTCTGTGTTCCTTTGTTTGTTTTCAACAACAAAAAACTAAGCCCAAAATGATGTTTATAGCAACTCGCCCAAATGAAGTACCAATTCATGAAGAAGTTCAAGTGAAGTAAATGGCAAATTTCCCATTGACTGAAATGGAAGCAGCATTGGGTTGTAGAGCTTCTGGGCTACCTCACAATTCTTAACTGGAGAGTTTACTTTCTGAAATTACTGCTAATTGTGATCCAACCACTTAACACATGCTCTTAAGTCATCTACTGGGAAATTGTGCTTTAAACCCAAACCTCAAAAGTAATCTGAGTAAAAGTCGCACACTTTCAGGATATATCGTTTCACAGACAAAATTCCTTGTGTGGAACACACAGATTGAGTGCTGAATATGTCTCAGTACATTTTTCTTAGATTTGTTAGTGAAAGATACCCAACCTTTGCATTCCACTGACTGCTTTGCTGTATTTGCAGGCATTTTTGGATGTCAGCGCTGGATTCCATGTTGAGGTAATATATTTATAAAACTATTTATTAAAGAGCAGATATTTTTGAAGAATGAAAATGTACTACCATTAAAAATGAAAGGCCTTTGTAAGTTAAGAGATTTTTGGACCATAAACCCTGACAAAAATACTTAAATATTGACCTGCTAAGCAAGAAAGAGATCTGTTCCTGCAAATTCCTAATCACTAGGGTAATTCTACTAAAGTCAGATGACTATTCACGGAAGCAAAAATAGGGCCATGCCATCTTAGGCTCTGTGACTATAAGCTTTATAAACAAGCTATGAGTCTATATAGATGTCCATATGGTCTTCCCTACTTTACTCTGTTAAATCCTACCACTGTATTCAGACTGTCATAATGACCCTGGAACCCTTTCTGTCCAAGGTGAAAGAATGGAATGAAAATAATGTGACATGATGGAAAACCTTCAAAAGACAAAAACGGAAATGGATTGAATTCACTGCAGATTGCAGAGAAGGAGAAGATAATTCAAAAAGGAATCCAATTGCCAAAGTAAGTGTGCAGGAGTGGTGTTTATTGATTTTTAAAATCAATAACGTACTCTTCTTCTCCCCTATTTATTTTGGGTCTAAACTCAAAACTCTGATCATCTGAAGAAGTGGGCTGTACCCACAAAAGCTCATGGTACCATCTACATGTTTTGTTAGTCTATAAAGTGCTACCAGACCATTTGTTGTTTTTTAAGTTCATCAGTTATAGGCGTCCAAGGGGAAATATGACTCACTTCGAGGGATCAGAGAGAGATGCTGCAAAGAACATCTAATAAAGCTTGAGGCCTAACTGAGCTAATTGATGGAGATCTTTAAAGAATACATTTTGTCTAGAATATCTAAAACAAAAAAGGCAGAAAAGGAGAGGGAAGAAGCTCTAGTACTGCTAGATATACTGAAATTGCAATATCCACATAAGATCAGAGAGTTATGGGCTAGATTGTGGTACTGAGTGTTTTGAGGGCAGTACAGAGGCCTCCGAGATCACAAGAGAAACATGAATGCTGCTCCATTTTTTGGAAAGTACAGCTTACATTCTGATTGTCTGATGGCAGGTACACTATCGTCACATAATGGCACTTTCTTTCCCAACCTACTTTGAGAATCCCTGAGAGCAAGGTTTGGGATGGTGCCTGACTAGTGCACAGGAAGGCAATGGGGTGTTTAATTGCAGTATAGATGTATTTTGAAAGAGCAGCACTGACAAGCTATCTAAGGGGCTACTCCCAGCCCACCATGAATTCTGACATAATACAGTCTGTGGGGCCCGTGAGGAGAATAACTGAGAATTCTGTGAGGGAGGGGGAAGCCATCACTTGTTTTCTCAGTAAACTACGATGAACATAATAGTTTCCATTTGTTTATTGCTGTAGATTCGATCCGATTGTGAAGAAAACCAACCAATTGTATACAGCATCTCCGGAATAGGGATTGATCGGCCACCTTATGGGATCTTTGCTATTAATAAAAACACTGGAGAAATTAATATAACATCAATAGTTGATCGAGAGGTGACCCAACGTTTGCTGTAAGTGTTAAATCCATTTAGTAGCATAGTAATTAGCCTCCTTTTTTTTAACTTCCTGTCTTCTTTTGATGAATTCCAACAGAGAAAGAAGTGAAGCTTCAATTAATAATTATGTTCAAAGTTTGAGTTTATTTCTTCTTCTTTTAAATTATGTATATTTATAACCTTCTTTATCCAGATAACATGCTATGCTAAACATGCAATTACTAATAGAGAAGTAGAACCGCCTCTTGTGCTTCGCATCAGAGTTCTGGATATAAATGACAATGCTCCAGTATTTTCACAAGCTGTACATATGGGATCTATTGAAGAAAGTCGCATGGAGAGTAAGTAAATATTCAGTGTACATATTACAATAATTGTCACTGGGCATTTGCAATAGTGGAGATTCCAGGAGGATTGCCATGGTTTTTTTCAGTTTCTCATAATGCTCTCAAATTCTTTTCACATTTAGAATTTTTTAAGAAAATTGGTTCCTTTTTTTCTTTTTAAGTTTGATTACTTGTTTCTGAGGGTAAATCAAATATTATTTCTCCCATTTGTCTTGGTCTGAAAACATGTGATTGTATAACCAAGAAAATGGCTGAAGCTGTCAAATTGCAAAGTAACATCCTAATATGACAAACACTTCCTACTAAGCACAAGGCTTCCTACCAAAAGAATTCCGAATTATCTTATACACGTGAATAACTTTGACACATATTGATATATCACTGAACTGAATGGGACTATAAAGATTACTCACATGAATACATGTTTGAAAGTTTAAAGCTTTGTGCATATCATGACTTGAAATCATATTTGTCAGTGTCCAATTTTTATATTAGAAGCATTTCAAGACTTTTTTTTTCTTAGGCTCCAATCCTGCATGTTACTCCATGTTTCTTGTTTGGTAATGATTTTTGAGAATGTATTTTTTAAAGTAATTAATTTCTGTAGCCCAGGTTTAGCTATAAGTAGCTATCACAGTGTGGACCATGAGTTGTCCAATCGTATGAGAAGCAAAATTTAGCTCAATTTTTCATAAGTCATATTCTAAAATAAGGCAATTTGCAGTGAAGTTAACCCCAGAAAGGCAATAAATAAGAATGTGAATTTATTGTTTCTGGCATTCCCTCCCCTCCTATGTAAAGAGGACATCTTGCCATATCTCTGACATGCATCAGGTAGGAGACAAAGGGACACCTAATAGCTTTACCATCCTCTCTTTTCCCTCCTGCCAAAACTTGAATAGATGGAGAGGATAGTTGAGATGTGAGCGGCTGTTCCCCTTCACAGCTCCGTATTGTGGGCATGTCTGTTATCACTGGGCTAGCTATAGGTCTGCTTAGAGACATGGACTCCTTTAAAATGTATTTAATCAGTTGCTCCCATTTTTCTCCTCCTCCTGTATCCAACTACACAAAAGGATGCAGTTTGTTTAACCACATGCCATCAATATACATTGTAACATATAGCCACAAAATTAGTGAATGCCTCCTACTTTTTTTGATGTATTCATAAATACTAAGGCCTGAACGGAACCACAGTCAGATTTCCTGAATAACTCAGGTAATAGAATTTCAAAGTGTATCTACTTTAACCATTGATAGTAAAGTCAAATTTTTATCCTAAGGAAATTTAAAAATCTAGCTGTTCAGTTAAAAGCCATGTGAATAAATTTAATTCATTTGATAGATTCAAATATGAAAACATGTTTAGTATAATTAATACTGCAAAGTAAAATACATCTACAAAATGCCAGGAAGGCATGGACATAAACTGCTGAATAAGAAGTTCTTCAAGACACCTGTGGGGAGGAGGGGAAAAGTCTGATTTTTATGATTTCATGAAAACAAATTTTGAATATTTGCTTTTACATGTTTATGAAGCCCTAAAACATATATGTAAGATTAGACTACAATTTTAAAAATATAGTGTGGTTATATGTGCTGTATATAATCTGTACTAAGCAGCACAATATATAAGTTATTGAGAAATTATTTGCTGGCATTTCAAAATAGGGTTACTAATATCAAATAGCTATCTTCAAATAACTTCACTTAGGCTATATCTATACAGCAGCATTATTTCAGAGTAATTAATGTTATTCCAAAATAACAAAGTCTGCATCTGCACTAAAGCAGTTATTTTGACGTAATGGACTTCTTACGCCAACTCCAGTAACCATCATTTACAGGGAATAAGGGAAATTGGAAAAGAGGTGCTCTAACTCAGACTTCCCGCTGTGTAGACAGTGTCAAAAGTCGAAATAAGCTATTTCAATTTAAGCTATGCAATTGACGTAGCTCAAGTTGCATAGATTATTTTGGCTTTAGTCCTGCTGTGTAGATGTGCCCTCCATGTGGTAAAAATTATAGATAGTTTACAATCCTGATTCTACCTTTTAAAAATGTACTGATGGTATAAGTTTCCAAACCTCTGCTTATCACATCATAATAACCACTGCCAGGGAGTGTAAATGGTGTTAATAATCATCAAACTATCGATTCCCCCTGATGTAAGTACAGGCAGTCCCCGGGTTAAGTACAAGATAGGGACTGTCGGTTTGTTCTTAAGTTGAATTTGTATGTAAGTCGGAACTGGTACATATTGTAGGGGAAACTCTAGCCAAACATTTCTCCAGAGCTCAGTTTTATTCTCCCACACCTCACTTCCCTCAGTCCTTTATTCTCAAGCTGAGGTGTCTGCTGAGAAAAGCCGCTCTGCGTATTCCTGGTCTGCTGGGGGGAGCAGGGGGGCGCTAGCTTCGCGTCTCCCTGGTCTGCTGGGGGGAAGCAGCTAGTGCGGGGTTGCCTCACCCCGTTTGTAAGTAGGGATCCGATTTAAGTCGGATCCATGTAACCCGGGGACTGCCTGTACAACCACAAATTTACTAAACAAAGCACTTTCTCTTCTTTTCTTAGTAAGTGAAATAAAACATAGCTCTTTATAGGTAACATAATCGTTGTGTTTTCATTAACTGAGTTTTTAAGACTGCTTGTATTGCTAGGTACTTTAAATTTACAACATGGGACTTTTATGCCAATTTAAATGATACTGTCTTAATTCCTAGCTACTCTGGTGATGAAATTAATTACCATGGATGCAGATGAACCAAATAACTTGAATTCTAAAATTGCCTACAAGATAATGGGTCAGGAACCTGCAGGTGCATCAATGTTTATTCTAAGTAGAGATTCTGGAGAAGTTCACATAGCAAATTTTCTTGACAGAGAGGTAAAAACTTCAATATATTAATATTCATGATGGAAAAAGAGAGAGAGAGGTTCATGATGGAGAGAGAGAGAGAGAGTATGAGAGAGATTAATATATTTAGTTGTTGCAAAGGTGAAACAGAAGATTGAAATGATCTTATTTTAGAATATAGAGGTATTGTATGGGCTTTTGCTGTATTATAGGAAATATTTGTACCTATAACTAATTGATGTATTTGAAAGGAGCCGCAAGAAATTACCCATCAGTATGTGGTTTTTTAATGTTTTTGTTTGTAAATAATGTGTACATTGGTCTTTCCAATTTAGCAATATGACAGATACTCTCTTGTTGTGAGAGCCTCAGACCGCGATGGAGCTGCAGATGGAATCTCTTCCCAGTGTACCTGTTCCATTGAAGTTATTGATGTCAATGATAATTTCCCAACTCTTTTGCAGAATTCAGTAAGTTTTTTTTCCCCCATCAAAAGTAACATCACTAACATTTCTATTCCATAACAGCCCCGAGATAAAGAGTGGAGCCCTTACTCATTCTAGGGAGAACTTGCTCATATGAATAATCTTCTCAAAGCTACTATTCCCATGAATAAATGCTCACCAGTATAGGTAAGGGTTCAACAAACTAGCCCATGGTTTCTGGGCACAATTGTGATGACATTCACAGATTTCTTTTGAATCTCATGAAATCAGCTTTGTTCATGCAGAAACGGGGGACAAATTACGTAGTCCAGACACAAGATTATTCAATCCTTGCTCATGGAAGATACCATTGTCTTTACCCAAGATGATTTCACAGACATGCGAGGCAATACTCACATTTGATTCAGCAATCAGAACCACACCCAAATGAGTATATTCATAATTAATATTGACCGTGAAGATGCCATCTTTCAAAAATGTAAAACCAGCATATGCTTCTTTGTAGTAGTATTTCTTCATTACAAAATATCTTTTCAGTGCTTGTTAACATACTTAGTTAACGAGATGAGTATGCATCTGTCATTTTAGTATTCAGCCAGGATTGAGGAAAATACACTCAGTTCACAACTGCTAATGATACAAGCTATAGATCGTGATCAAATGTTTTCAGACAATTGGTTGGCAGAATTTTACTTTATCTGGCAATGAAGATAACTGCTTTGAATTTGTAACAGATTCAACAAATAATGTGGGCATTCTGAAGGTTATTAAGGTAAGGATGTAAAAGTATTAAAATTCACAGATTTAACTATGACATTTTCAGATCATTAGGGGCAGATTCTGGCGTGTGTGTGAAAAACAAAGGAATCCCAAATCATGCACTCCCAGTAGAAGGTTCTGTAGAAGCCTATGCTAAGAGTGGAGATAGGATCTTTGAGGCAATTATCTATCTGTAGGCATCAGGGGGGCTATGGTCCCACAACCATATCACATTAACTAGCAACGCTTGCCAAGGGAAGTGCATGTTATGCTTCTAGGAAAGAGCCACTGAAAGAATAGTCCTTATAGTCCCAAATGTCTTTGTTCTTATTGTTTTAGCACTCTGTACAGAAGGTTTCTTTTTCCTTACCATATTTGTGGTTTACATAGCCACTATATACCATTCATAGAGCAATCCACAGTAAAAAAAGCTAAAGTTCACTTTCCTGCCTAGACTCAAACTGCTATAGTAACAACAAAGAATAAAAGAGGGATGTCTATTTTAACTTTGTATTTCTTGGCTTTTCAGCTTACTATGACTTTATTAAGTGGAGTATTTTAAATATGGATTTTCCTCTCTAGGCTCCCTGTATTCATAGTTACAGTTTCTTTGTCTTAAAGGATATGATTTATCTATAGGAGCATGAACATGTTTTAATTTATTCTTGGAATTAGAAAACTAAATTTAGAGTGATACATAGAATAATAATCTGAGCAAAGCCACATGTACTATGTGATGTTAAGCAGCCACACCAGTTTCTTATGTAGCACAGAAAACACCAGTCAGAGGCTCAGGTACTAGATTAGCAAGGAGGCCAAAGAAAAAGATCAGCTGCAGAAAGAGACTTGAAGATGAGTCCCTGCCCTTGCTAAACTGGCTGGATCAGAACCCCCCGTCATATGCTCCAATTCCCTCCTCCTTTTTCGAAAGATCCTGTACTCCTCAAAAAAAGAGTTTTATTTTTGAAAAATCCCCATCTTAACTGCCATTTTTCTATCAAAAAGCTCTGTCAAAACACCCCGCGGCCGCCATTATGCAAATGAGGCATGGAAAATTTAAATCCCAGCTTCATTTGTGATTTCAAAGTGTCTAATTTACATCCCTTTTTCGAGAAAGGGATATAGTCTTGCATGTACAGTTTTTGCAGCACTTTGTGCCAGCTGCCTTCCTGGTCCTGACTGAGATTGACCCCAAGCTCATTCTGGGGCCCCTCTCCCTGGGTGCGGGAGCTACACTCTAGCAACCACTAACCACTGTGGAGAGGAGTTTCTGGGGGCTCAACACCAGTTTGGACTGGTAGGACCAGCTGGTCACGGAGGGGTGAGACCACCAGCAGTGGCTCCAAAACTTCCGCATGCGAAAGGCCACCTTTTTGGAGCTGTGTGCCTGGCTCATCCCTGCCCTCTGAAGATGCAGCACCCACCTGCGGCCCACAATCCCCTTGGAGAAGCGGGTCACAATTGCCTTCTGGAAGCTCACCACCCGAACAGCTTCCGGTTGGAGGGCAACCAGTTTGGTGTGGGGAAGTCCACCATCGGGGCCCTTCTCATGGAGATAAGGCACTCTGGGGCTGCAATCCCTGCAGGCAGTTAGGGGGAGTCCTGGAAAAGGGGGTCCTTCAGGAAAGGGAGGTTGAGGGCTTTGGGGGGGGAAGGAGCCCTGTCCCTGGGGAGTTGTGCCTTCACATGGCTCTGCTGCTGGGGGGAGGGGCAGCCTAATAGAGGGTGGCTTGTAGGGTGTCTGGAGAATGAGAGGGGGTAGGCATCTCACAAGGGTTCAGGCACTCCCTCTCTTCTTCTGTTTTTTTGTTTGTTTCCTTTTGCAGATGGTAGGTGCCATCAATTTGATCCCACAGTGGAGGATCATCTACCTGGGAGACCTGGACCTGAGCATGACCTGATTTGCCACCCTGGGCTTTCCAAACCACTCCGGAGGTATAGATGGGAGCCACATCCCGATCTGAGCACCAAAACATTGAGTGGCCCAGTATGTTAATAGGAAGGCCCAAGTGAACAGTTCATGGACACTTTTGTCGGGTGGTTGGGCAGGGCACAATGCCTGCGTGTTTTGGAACTCTACCCTGTATGGGAAGCTGCCATGACTCTGCAGTTGGGGATGTTCAGATGCCATTGTGCGGCCTATCCCATGATGCCATGGCTCAGGAAGCCAAATAGCTGACACCTGGAGCCTAGCAGGAGCCAATTTAATGCTTGCATGAACCAAGCCCACATCTAGGTGAAGTGTGCCTGCAGCCACCTCAAGATGCAGTTCAGGTGTTTGCTGACCCACCTCGACACGGGGGAGCACAGCCCCAAGGTGGTGTCCTCTACAACATTGTGGAGAGGAAGGGGGAGGCCTTTCTCCCGGGGGGGGGAGGGGGCAGATGCTGGCCGCAAGGGGTGAGCTTTCCAGCAGCTGAAGATAGCCACCATCTGACAGGCCCAGCAGGCCAGGGTGCCGAGAGGCCCTGAGGGAGACGTTCCCTTTCTGAGGGAGAGGTTATCATGCAGACACTGTCCCTGAGGCTGTGCCCTCTTCTGAGAGTGGTGACCAACAGTCCTTGGTGTCAGAGGAGGGGGGGAAGTACTGGGAGCAAGGCCATCTGTGAGCTGCACAGCAGGCCATGCTTCACAGGGGCCCTGAAGGGCCCAGGGGACTATGCTGCCCACTACCCAACCCCCCCCACCTGGCACATGGACAGGCAGGCAAGGGAAGTGTCTGACCACAGTGCAATCCCCTCATGGGTAGCAGAGGAGCCAGGAGCAGCTTGGTCATCCCTGGAGTCCATTCCCCTCCTCCCCCAGTGGCTCCCATAGCTGCCCATGGGAACAGGTGGTGCCTCACACATGCAGGCATGCCTGTGGTGCAGCACTCCTTGGTGTGTCTGGGATCATGACTGCTGGCCAGGCAATGATGGGGGTCTGGAAGCCACAGTCCACCATGATGGGTGGGAAAGACGGAAAAAGGCTTCTTCCTCATAGAAAGAGGACTACCGGTGCTGGAAAAACCCCTCTGTTTTGATTTACTTTCAGAAGAACGTAATTGCAGTATGGACATAACTCTGGTTTTGTTGGAAAAATGGCAGTTTTTCTGACAAAACTGTAGTGTAGATATACTGAGTGTGGAACTTTTCCACTGTGTTTCCTTCCCCTCTGTTTGCAGCCACACATGGTTATGGAGGCAGCTTTTACAATCCTAGTAATATTGTGTTCAATTCTTCAGCCTTGGGATCCTAATAAGAGTCAGCTAGCCCTTCCTTGGAAAGTTTCAGCTATTTGTGCAGACCCTTAACAAATCATATGCATTCTTTGATATCCGCCCCAGCACCACATTGATAGGATATTGGGTAAACACCACTTTCGACTGACAACTGTTGTACTTTTTTTTTTTTTTTAATTAAGTGCTCGGACCCTCAGAAACACCGAACAAGCTTCACTGCACCCTATGACAATCATTTGTGAATTCTCCATTGGTTTCAAAGCCCCTCTTTCTAGCCCTTTGGCCCAGATGTGGTAGGTAAGTAGTTTTCCATTTATTCCATATATTGGAACAGAACTGAAAGTATTTAAATTGAATAGTTAATATAATTAGATCAACTTCAGGGCTAATATGCAACAGTACATATTTTAAATATGGCAAAGATTTCCTTTTTATGTACTAGAAAAGAATACATGGAACTACACTTGCAGTCCCTGTTTTACAAAAATCCAGTTTATTACTCACTGTTGTACCAAATATATATATTTTTTTTAAAAAAAAGGGTGACATTAAACAAGAATGTTTACATAACTGGACAGTTTTAAGTTACTGAGTTGGTGAGAACAGTCTTTCCGCAGATGATCCCAGACAGTAACAATCAGCGAAGTATACATCTTGAAACACTGTGTGCTTTGTGCAATTATTTAAAGTTATTTTAACATATACAAATCTTGTTGAATCTGAGAACTTGTGTAAAAAAAAAAAATCTATTTTATCCCTTATTTCATGAGGGATAAAGGATCTTTCAAAAAAGGCTTTATTTTTCAAAAGATCAGCGTCTCGTCTGCCGCTTTTCTCCGCCAAAGCTCCGTGCTGAGAAAAAAAAAAAAAGCAGCAGCCATTTTTATGCTAATGAAGCACGGGAGATTTAAATCCCTGCTTCATTAGCAATTGCCATACGTCTAATTTACATCCCTTTTCCGAAAAATGAATGTAGTCTAGACGTAGCCTTAGTGGGTACTAGTCCAATAGGAGGAAATATACTTTTGAACATTACATAGTATGTATCTATTTTTTTTTCTTTTCAGTTCAACCTAATGTTTCTTCCCATGTCATCATCTAGTATTCTAGTTTGAAATTGTACTTGTAAATTAAAATCTTCTATTGAAATGTATACAGCTAAGACATTAAAACCAAGGTATTTTGATACAGTATTTTTTCACTGAATTAAAAAAATGAAATAAAATTTTCTACCTCTCAAGCCAAATAAAAGAAAAATGTGAAGATGAACGCTTAAGGACTACACTACTAAGTTTTATATTAAAAAGCAAAACACAATAGAAAAGTAAAACACCAGAAATAATGTAATATTATTGTATTCACATCATTTTAAGAGAAGCACCTAAAATATGAACTTCAAAGCATAGGAAATGAGTACTGGTCAAAAATCTACATACCACAGAATTAATGCAAGATTTACACACTTAAAACCACCCTAAATGTTTTGATAAACCACTTCCCTTAGCAAGAAAAAAAAAACACAATCAGCTACTTCAAGTTTAAAAATACCTATCCTCTGCGAAGTAGAACACCACCATTTATTTACAGATATTAGTACTCTGACAGAAACACTTATCTCTTTATACATGTTTCTGCTAATGTCCTAAACTTGGGTTCCAGATGATCTAAAAAGTCAAGCGCCTCCTCTTCTTGCTGATCAGTGCAGCAGCCTACAGAACCAGCCAATGATCCTCTTCCTTCATAATTATATGGAAGGACATAGTCTTCAGAATGCTTATTTTCTTCATCCTGTCTGCACATATACACCTTCTGCATAATAAAACAAAATATACTATTAGTTTTCTTAAACTGTTATCCTAAAAGTATGGCATAAAAATAATTTTTTATTTACCTTTTATTGTTTAATTTTTAATCAGAGTGTGTCCTCTAATGGGTTCCTACATACAAAAAATGCACATAATTGGTCTATATCTTTCATACTATAAAATAAATATTTAACAAAAATACTGATCACACACACAATAATAAAAATGTGAAGAAACTGGTTAACCTGTTAAACAATTCAAAACCATTGGAAAATAAGATTAAAAGCATGATTTATACATAATTGGAGCCCTACCAAATTTACGGCCTCAGTTTTAATACTGGCCAATTTCACATTTTCAGACATTCCGGGTATATCTAAACTACACCCTTCTGTCAGCAGAGGAATGTAAATTAGACGTATCAAAAGCGCAAATGAAGCCGTGATTTAAATATCCCGCGCTTCATTTGCATAAAGGCAACCGCTGCTTTTTTTTCTAAACCCCGAAACGGGGCTCTACGAAAAAAACCCAGCAGTTTAGACTGGGCATTTTTGACAGAAGTGCCCTGTTTCGAAAGATCCTGTATAACCCTGCAGTATGGGAAAAATACTCGGAGGTGGAACTCATATACCCACCTCTGGCAGTTATAATAGGGACATACAAATCCTGTCCCTGCCCACCCCAGCCAGGACTTGCAGCTAGGAGTCGTCCCCCTACCCCCAACCCAGCTGGAGTGCTCCCAGCGGCATGGGGAGATCAGCTTTCATAGGGAAGAGCTTATTTCACAGTCTAGGACACATTTTTCACAGCCATGAAATGGGTAGGGCCAAACACATGAAACTTGGGATTTGGTGCATTTTGTACATTTGTACATTTTCTAATGTATAGCAAAACATGAATCACATCTAGTATGTGCATGAGGCCTTAAATTATCATTTCTTGGAAGCACTTAGATAAAAACTGTGTAATGAACAGTAGCCCAAAACCAAGTATGACTGTTCACACACAGGTTGCATTCTAAATGGAAAATAGTTCTGCTTTTTTAAAAAAGTGAAGAAAATCATTTACCTAACTCTAATCAATTCCAGTGAAAACCACACCAAAACAAAGAATGGTCTAACAATCTAGGAAGGCGTGGGGTAAGGGGAGGAACTGTTGTAAATTTAAAATAGTGCAATGCCTAAGACACATCAAAATACTTACTTCACCTAGACGAGAATGTGTGAAATTGTGCCATTCTGAGTATGAGTCTCTGCCTTGTTCCATCATGGCCTGTCCACGTTCATTTAGGGTCTGATGTCCTTTGGACATTTCAAAAGCATTTCCCCCTGTGCTTACTTCATGTCTGCCCATTCCAACCCTATGTTCACGAGAATGTACAGGTGCAGCTTGTAAAGGAATTATATTTGGATCCTAAAAGCAAAGATAATAGTGGGGAGGAAAATCTTACCAAAATACTTCAGGTGTAAATTTTTCCTAACAAAGAAATATTTCCTTTTCTTTAAGCACCTTTGCTTTTGAATATGTAACTTGGAAAGGATATAAAACGGTCAGTGCTTAAATTGAAATGTCTCAGTTCTGTCTGCATACAGTATTGTTCTGAATCCAGGCTGAGCACACTCACTGATATCAAAAGAAGTTTGTGGATAAATCACAAACAATTGAAGGCCTTAAATGCATATACAGTAAAACTCCATTGGTCCAGCATCTGATGGTCCAGCACTCCTGATGGTCCGGCACTGCTACCGGCAG